TTCACGTGCACGCGCAAAGCTGGTCCCTATATACTACTCATAACCTTCAGCTTTAAGAATCTGTAAATTCAGGAAATGTTGTAGTCTAAACTATTAAGCAATCAATAAAAAAATAAAGAGAAGATTCATCGATAGTGAAAATAACCATTAGTTGTCGCCCTAAAGTAAATGTAGAATATGTAGAGTGTAGAGTGGTTTCGATAATCTGGGCAAACTGTTAACTTTTTACAACCAGGCTGTTTGTATTTCCTGCCCTGTCTGAGCTTGTTGTAAACTTTAGACCTTAGAAATTAAATGATGGACGACAACACAAAAGGATCCATGTTGTTATTACAGGCATGAAAATCGGTCAGGGGTGAAAAAGGTGAGAAGGATACAAGATTCGGCACCTGCTAGGGGGTCCCGTGGGTTATGCTCCTCGATTGTTTTTTTGGTGGAAAAATGAGCTTCCAAATGCTCATATCTGATTTCTTTTAGATTTACTCTAGTGGTGGTCACACGCAGAATTTTAAGATTGCACAAAAACAAAAGTATGAATGTATAATTAAGTGCAAACAAAGTATCTTTACATGCTCACATATGTTGTATAAGAGACGAGACCAGGGGCGAACTGGGACACAAATTCAGCCCTGGACATTCAGGCACACCGGCCCACACACCGACCCACAAGTTTCTACCTATAATCCTTTATGCTTGTACACACTACACAAACGCTGTCCTCAGAATCAACTGCATAAGAAAATCAGCAGTTATTGTTTAATTCCAGACTATAAAATAAATGCAATCATGAATTGGCCACTAATGGCAATGTGATTTAAGTTAAAATAAGAGCATATGACTCTATCCTAATGCATCTAACTTTATGCACAATATAATTGTCTGCCCTTTTAGTCAACTTATTACTGCAACAAAAAAATCTCACTTAATACTACTAAAAATGTTTTCCTCCAGCTCAAATGTAATGCATAGTAGGTTATGCCTTCACATTGCACCTGTCATATTTCTGGTCTCATCCTCCTCCTCATCACGACTGGGGTTAGTCTGTCCCTCGGCTTCATTGTCCTTGGGACTGGGAGCACCACCTAATGTTAATTGCATGATGCATCCAAAGGAAAAAAGCAAGCACATATTTTCTTTTAGTACAGGTTTAAAGTATAATGACTTAATGCAATACCTAGTAGGCTAGTTGGCCTCTTGAAATGGACACCTAGAAAAAATATGCAAGTTGCCAAAACCAACCTTGCACATTACACACTCACGAACATTAGCTAACGTTAATACACCTGCTATAATGGCACTGTCGGCTCCAGCTCCATCTCCGTCGTTAGCAACACCAGCAGCCTCAACCAACGCCGCGGCCAAACAAGTCGGTTATTTTGGAGCACTTTGCTGCCTCTTCTTGTAAAGATGTAAGTTTTTTTATTCGAGTTTTTTCTGCGCCACTCTTTCTTTGTTTTACCGGCTTGTTTTCTGTCAAACTAGCTTGGTCTCCTATGAGTAATGACTGATGACTGAGGCTGAGCCAATCAGATTTCAAGAAAAACGAGAGCCTCTTTCTTATTGGAGGAGGCTGCTCTTATCTCCTCCTTCAAGCATAAAAACACAAGATTGACACCTACGTCCCCATCCCCCCCCTCTTTAGTATGATATCTAATGAATAAGTGACCCACAAATTATATTACGTACTTAACATAAAGTTATGTACTTAATGTAAAATTACTAAGGTTAGGTTTAGAAAGTTTAGATATTGATAATGTGCCTTACAATAACTCAGAGTTTACTTGGTTTCACATGGTTCTGATTCCGAACACTGATCTCCTTGGGAAAGTCCTGTGTTGTTTGACCCATCCTCCACCTCAACCTGCCTCCTTACACGGACTATACATAAAATACTGGCTCATGATTACATGGGTTATTTACGATTTCTGGTGCAATACTTTTTGTAAGTATTCGTACGAACAGTGCATGAGAACAGCCTGACAGTAGGCTATATATTTAGAAAGAAAGAAAGAAAGAAAGGTTGATGAGAATATATGCTTATGTGTGTGTTTATAATAGAAAAAGATAAGGAGAGAGCAAACTGTGTTATCTTTTCAGTGGACTGGCAGGGCCTGAAATGCAGATGCTTCAGTGTCTTTAGAGTTTTGTCCTCCCTAATGGCTTCTGCAGACAGCCGGGGCCAAACATCTCATTTGCATAATTCATTTCACTTCAGAGCGCCTGACAAATGCCTCCAAACTCCTCGCCTCTCTGTGAAATCTGAATATTTCTCCAGCTCTCCTGCCGAGTGCCGATTCGGCGAATTAAACCAGAGGAGCAGTTTTGTTGTTTTGTTTTGTGTGTGTGTGTGTGTGTGTGTTTTTTCTTTTACAGAGGGTAAGGGAAGAAAGGAACCAAATCAGACTCAAAAGAAAAATGGTGGAAAAAAGGCAAGAAAGAAATTCTTCACAAAATGAGTGTTGTACTTTTTTGACACGATTCTGTCTTCAGCGGTGCAGGCAGGGAAAGCTAAACTCTAGAGAGTAACAGACTGGTTTTTCCTGTCCTGTCGTTCAAAGCAAAGCTGCATGATGAAAGCACTTGAAATACTCACAGATGCCCAGTGGGCTGTTACACAGGTGTCTGCCTCCCTCTAGTGGTACAATACAACAACAGCAGCTTCCCACACCAGAGCAAGTGACAAGCAGCAACTGAGTCATTTCCACAGGGGTTATAAAAAGTGTACATTAAAATAAAATCTCAATAATATTTCACACTGATTTAAGTCTTGGTGCTCAGTTTGATTGTTCATACTTTAGTTTTTCTGTATTAACCATGTATCCTATCCTTTAGATCTGGCACTGTACTTAAATGCAGCATGTATGCACGACATGCAACCCACTGAGACTGATCCCTGCTGTTAAACTGTTTATATTTTCACGATCCCAAATAAAAGGAATAAAAGATCTAATTTAAAGCACTGGAAAACTCAGTTTTTGGTGGGGCTGGATTTCAGAGAAACTGGATTGTCTCAGTGATGTATAGTGGTGGACAGTAACAACGTACATCTACTTAAGTAATGTACTTAAGTGCAGTGAGTATTGTGTTTCGTAAACATCCTACTTTGACTTGAAAGACAGTTAATGTATTTTTGACTTCACTACATTTCTATGAAGGCTCTCATGACTTGTTACATTTGCTTGAAGTCAGCGAATGTTTTTTGTTTTTCTTTTCAAAAATGCACACATCCATAAACTGTGATCACGCAGGTCTGCTTGTCGTTTGACTGTGTGGTGTTACCGTACCTCTATCTCAAGCATGTGCTACACAGATTAGGCAGGTAAAAGTTTTCTGTTTTTGTTCTTGAAGCTTTTAGTTTTTGCTATGAATATACAAAACAAGCCTTGTTCATTCTTAGCAATCATTTTATTTATATTTGTGAAGCTTTTTCAGACATCCAATTGCTAAATCCTTGTAATAGACATTTGTTCACTACATGTTCACTTCACCCACACAATAAATCAACTAAACATCTCACCTCTTCCTCATTGATTAAGATAGCATTAATTATATTTACACTGCAATTCCTTATTGAAAAGATAATGTAGGGATAATGTTACAGGAGGACAACACAGCTAATTTTACAGCAATCAAATGAGCAGTAATTTCAAGGCATTAGGATATGCATAAAAATACAATAGTTATGAAATGACACCACAGTATATGTCTAAGCATGTTCAACTTGTCTGTGTTGCAGATTGGCTGCAGTAGTGATTACACCAATATAGACGTCTCTTTAGTGAGCCACAGTGCTGCACTGTTAACATAAGCAGTAATTGCCACCACAGCTGTGACTGCCACCTACAGAAACACGAACAGAAAATACAATGACTACACTGGGTTTGAGTGACAGTTGATATTTGGGACACACTATGCATGAACACCAAATTAATAAGTGCTTAGCAACACAGCAGAATAAAATACAGAAAAAAAAAAATCTATCCCATTGCCACTTGAAAAATTCCTGTCTACTTTAGCTCACGCAGCTCAGCATTGTCTCCTCTAGAATAATGAAGAGCAAGTCCAGCATAGAGAGGCTGAGTGAATGTGGTCTGGACTCTGTGGAGGAGAGTCATGGTTTCATCCACTTTGTAAAAGGACAGAATACCTGCCTTATGATCCAGGAACACTCCTATCACTTTGTTGCCCCATTGACATGTACCCGATACTGGAGTACTAATCGCGTTATGTTTGAATTCATATTCAGCAAAACAACATAATGCCCAAGACTTGTCATTTTCTCCAAATGTACATTCATTATAGGCCCCTGATCTGCTCATATCCTTGTATGCAACAGCTATTGTGACTAGTGCATCCCACTCCACCTCCCAGTAACAACGTCCAGTCAGACTCTCTCTACTCAGGACCTGCCAAAGATCAGTGAATCCAGCTGAGGGGTCAGAATGTGATAAGAATATGTTCCCTGGAAAAGTTGTTACTTTACGGTTCCTCTTAGATAACAGCATCAAGTAGCTCTTTGAATTTGGATCCAGTGTGAGGTGACATGCATACTGTAAGAATTCCTCTCTGGTTCTCAGTTGTTGCGACAGTAAGGCATCCACCTCAGTCACTGTCCGTAAAAGCTTTGGCCACCTCTTATTCAGAACGTCCTGTAGATTATCTCTGACCTCTGACACAGCCGCTGTCACATCCTCAAAGTACTGCAGAGGACGGCTTTTGCCGCTGGGCAACTCTGTAGATTCACTGAGTGGTGACAGTGAGGAGTAATTTTGTAGAAACTCGTTGTGATCCTCTGTGTGTGAGAGCTTCATCAGCTCAGCGTCTTTCCTCTTCAGCTCAGTGATCTCCTGCTCCAGCTTCTTCTTAAATTCATTGACTCGACTCACTTCAGTTTTCTGCTGGGATCTGACCTGCTGCTTCACATCAGCGCTTTTTTTCTGGATGAAATGGATCAGCTCAGTGAAGATCTTCTCACTGTCCTCCACTGCTTTATTAGTGAAACGATTGATAGCCTCCACCTCCGGTTGAAGCAGCTTCATAACTTTCTTACTGTCATGAATCCTTAGCTGGATTTTTTGTCGACTCACTCCAAGCTCTCTCTGCCTCTCAGTCCTCTCTGCTGCAGCTGCAACTGTGTCGTGGCCTTTATGTTCATCCACAGAGCAGAGATAACAGATACACTGCTGATCAGTACGGCAGAACATCTTCATCACCTCATCATGACGAGAGCAGATCTTCTCCTGGAGCTTGTTGGAGGGGTCCACCAGCTTGTGTTTCTTTAACTGAGCTACATCATAATGAGGCTGAAGGTGCTGCTCACAGTAAGAGACGACACACACCAGACAGGACTTGAGAGCTTTCAGTTTTCTCCCAGTGCAGACATCACAGGCCACATCTTCAGGTCCAGCATAGCAGTGATCAGCAGGAGCAGCTTGGAGTCCAGTCTTCTTCAGTTCCTCCACTAAATCTGCTAACATGGTGTTTTTCAGCAGGACAGGCCTCGGTGTGAAGGTCTGCCTGCACTGAGGGCAGCTGTAGATTCTCTTCTTATCCTCTCCATCCCAGTGGGTTTTAATACAGTTCATGCAGTAGCTGTGTCCACAGGGAATAGTCAACGGATCATTCAGTAGATCCAGACAGATTGAACAGCAGAATTTTTCATGGTCCACTTGAACTCCTTTCTGCGCCATTTCACCTGACAGCAAACGCCTGAAAGTTTCACTTCCTCAAAACAGGTCTGTGTTCGGATTCAAGCAACACTCAGCTCTTTTCCTCAACTCTCACTTGATGTGCTCTGAATGAGGATCATCAGCATATATTACAATGTTGGTTACATCCATCCAGAAACTGTCAGATCTGTGAAGGGGAGGAAACAAAGAAATACGTGTGTTGAGAAGAGGGAGGAGTTATCAGGCTGTGGCTCATTTCAGGAAGAGGAAGGTTCTAGAGTGACAATGTGACTGCGTGCTGGGCTCGCCCTGTTCCAAAGTCCATCCTGACAGACTCACAGACTTTTCCAATAAGTTTTTAGGGCTTCGGGGCAACCCCACTGTGAAAATAGAAAGTGCTTGAGGGCTATGGAGTCAGATCAGTTTCAGTATTAATGAATACACACAGTATTTATGGATTTATATACAGTATAAATGACTTTCTCCACATAAATGTTTTTCAATGCACACAATACACATGAAAATTACAGACCAGGGTGTGGTTTGATTAAATGTTATGTTGTCATAAACGCTGTGCTAAAGGCCACATCACTATCTTAGCAAGAAATCCTAACTCAAACATATTTCTTAATGTATAATGGGAGAGTTATCACTTGCCTGTGGGGAGCAGCTACCAGACTCCATGTTGAGGTTGACCTGGTAGTAGATGTAACACCGTAGATATTGACAGTAGATGCCACTTTTGGGCTCGTGAGATGCGTAACTACCGCCACCACCTTGCAGTTGTTCTCATGCGTTCAAATAGTAGAAAATGCTAAACTTTTGTGCTGCTTTTGGATGTGCTGACGTGGGAAGTGCCAAAACTAAGCAACAGGGAAAAACATTTCACAGCTGAGTGAGGCGGAATGTATACTTCTGCACTGAATCAACGCTGTAGGCCCTGTGTCAATGTAGAGCCTACACCATACCCTACACCGTAGCCTGACGTACACATCCCAGAAATGTAACTACACGTTGCGGCGACACAGACCTCCTGTCTGTTTTTGTGAGATGAAACCATTTCCCTCAGTGGAGACAAAGCTTTTATTTACTTCAATTTCACAGATAAGAAACAATAAATTGTGAAGACAATAAAGCCTCCACTAAAATAGCATTTTAAGTCTTGTGTGTGATTTATCCTTTGAGGATTTATACTTCGGGATTTATCCTGGCTTCATATGAGCAGAGGAAATCTCCACTCGCAACTAGGCTAACTTATACAATGTAAAATGCCATAGGCTGGCGCTAATAACGCTAGCATGTTGCATTTGTTTGGAAAACGTGTTTAGTATAAGACAGTTGTTTTGTCAGTGAACCTTGTGAGCTGTAATGGAGCCGAATTTTGTAACGTTACCTTTGTTAAATGTTGCTGTTGTCCCTGGCTTCATATGAGAAGAGGAAATGTTCGCTAGCTAGCTAGGTAAAATGCCATAGGCTTGTGCAAAAAACATTAGCATGTTGTATATGTGGTGAAAATGTGTCCAGCAAAAGACAAGTGCTTTGTCTGTTAATGCTGCATTGTAGTGAAGCTGATTTGTGTACTTGTGTTTGAAATGGTCTCTATTTAAGTTGTTGTGTAGAGGTGGAGGAAGAAATCAATACAGCATAGTACTGTGAATTTGACTGAGAAGTGAAAACTTTATCTTATTAGTTAAAACCTGAAGTCTTCCTTTGGGGAAATAATTAGCAGTTGAAATAAGGTAATAACTCACACTAAATTAGCAATAAATGTCACTGCAATACTTAGCATATCGCAAAATGTTTAAAATTGCAATAAGACTGTTCTGTGACTTTAGTTTTGTGATAATATCATATTGTAAGGCCACTTTTGATTCCGATCACTAATATTGTGTATTTTGTACATATCTATTGATATAACAATCACATTAAACAACCCTTGAATCTACACTTACATGATTGGCTGAAAGGGAAGGAGACATCTGATTGACTACAGATACTTTCCTGATAAATAATATATTTGTGAATTGAGCCACGTCAAGGGAGTCTTAAATAACTCACACAAATAGAGTGAAGTTTATGCAAGCAAATTGTAAATGTAACAACATCTAAATATGTTTTGAAAGAAAATTGCAAATACCTTTTAAAAACATATGTTGTGGATTTTTACTACTATTATTTAAAACAAGAAATATTTTTGTGTGGAACATAAATACATTTGTGGGAAAAAATCGTACATTGCATGATTGCAATCGATGAATTTCACTGACCTGGAGGCTTAGAACCCATCTGACACAAAACAGCGGAAAATTTTAAGAGGCTAATTTTTTGGTATTTTTTAAAAGTCCTTTGTCTCTTCGTCTTACCCTCATTTGATTTTGAGACCCAGACAGACACAGATACCATGAAATGAAACAAAGGTACATGTTTGAAAATAATATTCTGTGGATCTAAAGTTTGTTATAGGCACAAACAGCTCCAAGCTTTTTCGCCACACCTCACTATTGCCACATTAATTTAGAAATGCCAGCACAAATCTGCTCCATAGGTTTCCAGTTATACTGTCCAGTTATTAAAAGTTAATCCACACCTGCCGATGGGCAAGGCAGTATCACAGTATTACATGTACACCAGGGTATTTAGAAATCCGAACCATATGATTTTAAATACCGTCAAAAATACAGACACTCCTGTTTCTATCAAACACATACAGAAATGTTGTATTAAGGATACTGTATATAGTGTATACAACACACCACCAGAGGTCAGTCTCTGCTAGAGGAACAGACAGCTGAGCGGACAGACATGGCGACTGGGGATAACGTTACATGACTGTAAACCATCGGCCAGCAACAGTAGAAAGTAGCGAGACAGGAGTAGTACACACATACCCACGTATACAACATACCCCAGGTGAATTTCAGGATGGTATGAAGATATGAAAAAAATAGATATCGCCATAGTCTACATGCAAGCCAATCAGAATTGAAAATTGTTAGTGGCCATGGTATTTATAAAAACATGTAACCCCAAGCAGCACTTAATGATGACTCACTTCAAAAACAAAGAAACAACAACAACAAAAAACAAACAAACAAACAAAAAAAAAACACTATAAAAGCTTGTAGCACCAAACATGCTCTTTGGAATAAATGCACTTACTATTTACATGTCACATCTCACACAGCTTACATGCACTTATTGGAAGTTGCTTTGGACAAAATTGTATTGACAAAAAAATCAACAAACTGTATAAGCCAGAGCTTATTAGTTGCACATCATCTGCGTATGAACAGAATTTGAAGGGGACACAGTTCACAGACAGACTCTGGCATGTCATGTACGTTTGCTTTTGTGTATGTATGGAATGAGAACTGTGTACCTGTGTGTGTGTGTGTGTCTGTGTGTGTGTGTGTGTGTGTGTGTGTGTGTGTGTACCTCTGTTAGAGAGCTTCTCCAGCAGCATCCTGAAGTGTTGCACTACAGACGGGGAAACATCGTAGGTGTAGACCTCCTTTACTGGAACAGGGTGACACCTCCCAAACATACCATCTGAAAAGAGAATTAAACTCACATTTAGATTTTACATTTCACACAAAGATCAATCTTTCATGCTCAGTTATTCCACACTAACTCTATTAACTTCACGTAGGGGATGAAACCACCTGTTAAAGGTTAGAGAAAGCTGGTGGTCAAGGTAACATTAAAAGCTACTAACAGCCACACAGTAATGCTCTACATGATCACACCAGCATTTCTGTGAGCAAACGTTTGCACTAAAATAAACTGATATGGATGGAATTGCATAAGTCAAACACATTCTCGGTGGGTGCTGGTCTCCACCAGGGCTGTCCCTCGTCACAGATCCTGTTTGTGATTTTCATGAACAGGATTTCGAAGCACAGCCAGGGGTAAGGATGGGTCTGGTTTGGGGACCTCAGAACTGCATCTCTGCTTTTCACAAATGATGTGGTTCTGTTGGCTTCACCACACCGTGACCTCCAGCATGCACTGGGGCAGTTTGCAGTCAAGTGTGAAGTGGTTGGGATGAGAGTCAGCACCTCCAAATCTAAGGCCACGATTCTCTGCCGGAAACCGGTGGATTGTCCTCTCAGGGTTGGGGGAGAGTTATTGCCTCAACCGAGGGAATTCAAATATCTCGGTCCCGCTGCTCCTTCACGTCAAAAGGGGTCAGATGAGGTGGTTCGGGCATCTGATCAGGATGCCTCCTGGGCACCTCCCGCTGGAGGTGTTTCGGGCATGTCCCAGTGGCACAGACCCAGCAAGTTCTGGGTCTACCCCAGTCCTGGGGCAGACCCAGGACACGCTGGAGGGATTACATATCTCATCAGCCCTGGGAACGCCTTGGGGTCCCCCAGGAGGAGCTGGAAAGTGTTGCTGGGAAGAGGGATGTCTGGGGTGCTTTGCTTGTCCTCCTGCCACTGAGACCCAGCCCCGGATAAGCGGGTGAAAATGGATGGATGGATGGATGGAACTGTTTGAATGGTTGAATCAGTTATTTTTTTTTATAATAAAGAATTCTTTGTTTCACTGTAAATATCAATATAAACTCAAAAAAAACGACAACAGCAAAAAACATTGGTTTCAGCTACAGGCCAAAGTGTTATTTTAAACAGCTTAATCAGCCAAGAATTTCACAGATGGTGCATCCCTAATTATTACCAATATTATCAATATCACCCTGGATTTACCTGATTAGTGACTGCATTTTCTAAATAAAACGTATCATTTAAAAAAAAAAAAAAAAAAAAAAAAAGCTAAAACAAACAGGAAACTCTCCAACTTCAGGCAGAGTCAGATCCAAATCTCTCTTCTGGCATCAATTGTCATTTTATTAACCAAACATAGATCTGATGACACAGAATGTGACTTCTCACTCAGTCATACTTCCTTCTAAAAAATGACACACAGTGGGCAGTGTTAATGTGAGCTGTAGGAGAGCCAGCGAGAGACTGTCTCAGGAAATAAAGACGTGGGTTGAGAAAATGTCGAGAAAGATGAATCAGAGAAAGAGATATAAACAGGACCGTTATACTCATCACTATCTGTTGAACAGAATAATATGTGATCATGTGGTGAGGTGACTTTTTTGTTATGTATAAAACTTTCAACAGGGTCAAATGTGATGGCTGACATAAACGTTTATCTTCTCTGCATGTCACTCTGCATTTGATTTACATATGTAACTGCTGCCTTCCATTTATTTGAATCAACCATTGTTTTTAGAAGTTAGCGTGTAGTTAAACTGTTACTGTAGCACCATTAAACATGAGAAATGATTCACTGTGACCTGGAAACGAGACACCAGCTCTCCAGTTCATATATTAATAATATTTGCAAGTCGCACTGGTGCTCCATGGTTGCAAAACGTGACCACATAGTCATAGCCTGGGGCCCTGCAGATACATAAACATAGACCTCACCTACTCACACCCTACTGCTCAGGAGAGTGTGGTCTGGATGGGTGGGAGAGTGTGTGTTACCTATCATGTTTGTGAGTCTTTTTTTTAAGTCTGTAAGAGGGAAAGAGCCATAGGACAGAGTGTGAGAACCAAAACACCGAAGCAAGCGATATAGCCATTTTATACCACCTGGAGCAAGCCGTGATACATTGAGTATAATCAATATCTCCCACCATCATAAAATGTCTTCAATAAATGTAATAAACTACTGATGTTGAAGCACAAGGCTATCAGAAACACGGTGAATTTACGTGCTATTTAAAAGAAGTAAATCACAATGTGTAGGCCAGCACAAGCTAGTACCCTGCTGCGTACTTCAGGCATCAAACAGCCCAGCTTCCTCCAGCCCTTTTCACAACTTTTAACTCTAAAGGGAACATCCACCTAACAATGGAATTTACCTCACATCTGCCTGCAGTCTCAGACAGTACGATCAATACCTGGAGTTGTTTTAGTGGTAGTGGCAGAATTTATTGATCTCCAGTAGCAGTGGAGAGAATGAAACTCTGAGCACTTTGATTGATGATTCTGAGATTCTGTAAACATGCCGCATGACATACAAAGCAAAACATTTCTCTTTTGTTTTGTCTCTCCATCAAAAATATCCACCTAGTGGATGAGACAAGGTTGAGATGCCAACAAACTGAGTTGGTGATAAGCCAGCTTTCTCTGTAAATGTCACAGTGTCAATAATTTATTTTCAGTGTGCCAATGTCCCCTTTTATTTACACAAAATGTTTCTATTAACCAGAGTTAAAGGGTAACTTTGGTATTTTTCAACCTGGACCCCATTAAGAGACTGATGGGAACAACAACTGACACGCATTACATACAGTACAGGCCAAAAGTTTGGACACATCTTCTCATTCAATGCGTTTTCTTTATTTTCATGACTATTTACATTGTAGATTCTCACTGAAGGCATCAAAACTATGAATGAACACATGTGGAGTTATGTACTTAACAAAAAAAGGTGAAATAACTGAAAACATGTTTTATATTCTAGTTTCTTCAAAATAGCCACCCTTTGCTCTGATTACTGCTTTGCACACTCTTGGCATTCTCTCCATGAGCTTCAAGAGGTAGTCACCTGAAATGGTTTTCCAACAGTCTTGAAGGAGTTCCCAGAGGTGTTTAGCACTTGTTGGCCCCTTTGCCTTCACTCTGCGGTCCAGCTCACCCCAAACCATCTCGATTGGGTTCAGGTCCGGTGACTGTGGAGGCCAGGTCATCTGCCGCAGCACTCCATCACTCTCCTTCTTGGTCAAATAGCCCTTACACAGCCTGGAGGTGTGTTTGGGGTCATTGTCCTGTTGAAAAATAAATGATCGTCCAACTAAACGCAAACCGGATGGGATGGCATGTCGCTGCAGGATGCTGTGGTAGCCATGCTGGTTCAGTGTGCCTTCAATTTTGAATAAATCCCCAAGAGTGTCACCAGCAAAACACCCCCACACCATCACACCTCCTCCTCCATGCTTCACAGTGGGAACCAGGCATGTGGAATCCATCCGTTCACCTTTTCTGCGTCTCACAAAGACACGGCGGTTGGAACCAAAGATCTCAAATTTGGACTCATCAGACCAAAGCACAGATTTCCACTGGTCTAATGTCCATTCCTTGTGTTTCTTGGCCCAAACAAATCTCTTCTGCTTGTTGCCTCTCCTTAGCAGTGGTTTCCTAGCAGTTATTTGACCATGAAGGCCTGATTGGCGCAGTCTCCTCTTAACAGTTGTTCTAGAGATGGGTCTGCTGCTAGAACTCTGTGTGGCATTCATCTGGTCTCTGATCTGAGCTGCTGTTAACTTGTGATTTCTGAGGCTGGTGACTCGGATGAACTTATCCTCAGAAGCAGAGGTGACTCTTGGTCTTCCTTTCCTGGGTCGGTCCTCATGTGTGCCAGTTTCGTTGTAGCGCTTGATGGTTTTTGCGACTCCACTTGGGGACACATTTAAATTTTTTGCAATTTTCCGGACTGACTGACCTTCATTTCTTAAAGTAATGATGGCCACTCGTTTTTCTTTAGTTAGCTGATTGGTTCTTGCCATAATATGAATTTTAACAGTTGTCCAATAGGGCTGTCGGCTGTGTATTAACCTGACTTCTGCACAACACAACTGATGGTTCCAACCCCATTGATAAAGCAAGAAATTCCACTAATTAACCCTGATAAGGCACACCTGTGAAGTGGAAACCATTTCAGGTGACTACCTCTTGAAGCTCATGGAGAGAATGCCAAGAGTGTGCAAAGCAGTAATCAGAGCAAAGGGTGGCTATTTTGAAGAAACTAGAATATAAAACATGTTTTCAGTTATTTCACCTTTTTTTGTTAAGTACATAACTCCACATGTGTTCATTCATAGTTTTGATGCCTTCAGTGAGAATCTACAATGTAAATAGTCATGAAAATAAAGAAAACGCATTGAATGAGAAGGTGTGTCCAAACTTTTGGCCTGTACTGTACATAGCGAGAGGGCTGCAGTGTGACCACTCAGGCATATGTGCTCAGACTGTCATTATAAGTGTCTGACAACAGAATGGAAAGGTCACCTACTGAGACAGACTATTATGTTAACGAGTAAGATCCTTTTTGTTTTTACTAGAAACAGCCAATAAATCGCCAAACCCCCCAGGCTCCATTTAAATAAATAGTATTTTTACCATGGACAGAGACAATACATTTTCACATCTAACTGGGTAAATTACGGGTTTATGTTAACCAACCAGAGTTAATGACTGGTGAAACAGTGGAAAGACAAAACAGGGATAAGAGCAGGCATCAGCTTGGGAGACGAAGCTTTGGCTGGCAGCTGACAATGGTCTGTAGCAGCAGGGAGTGAGGCGCAGGACACACTGTGATTCAAGGATCTAAATAATGTTAACTACAAAAACATGAACTAGAAGCTGCAGACATAAGGCTTTGGCTCCGGTTAGCAGAAGGAGAAACTACTAGCAACATTTTCTCTCCATCTCTGAAACACGATAATAGCGTATTTTTTGTCGTTTATCCTCTCTTTAAGACTCTCTTTTGATAAGTCTGTCTTCTTTTTTTGGTTGCTTTGCTGTGTA